ATAGTTCACAATAAATGTTGATAATCACATCTTATATATTTTGTATAGATTGACATAATACGAATTAAAGTGGTACATTTCAATCACTGGGGTGGAAATATGGGATGTCATTGTCTCCGATTGTAATTCACTCTTCGTGTTAAATGACCACGAGCCGCAGTTTTTTTTTTTGCAAATTTGTTAGTTATAGTTTTGAATCCATATCATGTATGCAAACTAAGAAAACACGTGATAATATGCCAAGTAAAGTGGTTTATACTGTATACATTCACAAGTGAATTTCGGTACGAACAAGAATTCAAAAAGATTTCGGTGAAGCCTCTAGACGAATTCCCTAGGAGCGTTGACAAGCCATTGTCTGTTAATTTGGTTATTATTTTGAATAAACAATCGGAGAAACTGAATGGGTACAGGCATGAGTAACGCCACCGGATAACGCCCCTTTTGGGCAACAGTCGTTGACGACATGAACAACGCCACATTTGGGCAACAGTCTGTGCAGACATCGGTCTATATCGGTAAAGACATAACAAAGTTTTTCCAACCATACATTTGATATAATTCGTATAATCGAACGACAGTCACGTGATCTGTGCATACGTAATGTATACTCCGAGTACATGTATATCTACAAAAGCTGTTTCCATAACTACGGTTGACTGTCGTCAGCAAGATGTTAAATTGAGTGTCCGAGGGAAGGCAATGGTCCTTGTGTGAACTAAATGTCGGAAACTGTTTAAAGGGCGGTAGTCGTCGCGCTACGCATGCACGAGATATATGGGTCTCATATAAACAAAGCTGGCGACTTTGACTGTTGCGCAGATCAACGATTACATACTAAGACGTTTCTAAGCTTTAATTAGGTATTTTGTAGGTGATTGGAAAGTATCAAAGGAGTCACCGACGGTAATTAGTGCAAGTCGCACCCAGGTCAAATCGCATACTTGTGATTTCCATTTGAAAAGCGTATTGGATTGTGGGAAAATCAATGTTTATCAACACAAGTGTTGCACATGAGCAGCGCGACGACCATCGCGCTTTAAAGATAGTTTGACCTGGATGAAAAATAAGAGAAGTTCGTGGATGCATATGAGGCATCTGTGTACCCCACACTCCCGTACCTGTCTTACGGAAGTCATATTTACGCTCAGACCGAGTCAGAGACCGAAGATTCAAAGTTAGGATTATTTTGAAAATTACCGAAATTAGACAACTAACAGTACTTTCTTGGTAACATGGAATTATTATGACCACGGATATTTCGTTTTACCACCTAAATGTGCACAAATAATCAAAACAGCTGCATTAGAACAAAAAATAAAAAAATATTGAAAATGATCGTGACTACATGCCTACGTGATACTGCTTTATCTGTCATGTATCTATTATCACTGGTAAGTCGGTACGGTGCGACTATAACCTATTCTACAGTGACGGTTGCACGGGGGGGGGGGAGGTCGCCCCCTCGAAAAAATGCTGGGGCGTCGCCCCTCAAAAATCAAGCTGAAACCCCGTGGGTCAGCAAAATTTGCCCCACAAAATACAGGAAATAGCGTTTCAGAGAATCTAGATTTCAACATTTTTAAGGAGGAGCTTGCCCCCGGCTCCCTTCAGCGCAAGGTTGGTGGGCAGATCTCGCCCCCTTATGTAAAATTTCGCCGCCTCTGTTCTATTTACGTATGCAGGTAATCATATCGGAACGTAACTCGCATCGTTCATACTTCTGTGACGTCACACTTACGTAAATGACCGTCAACGTTGTCCTTTCAATTATTTAAAGTGTGTTTAGTTGTGTGATAGTTTGTCATTTTGCAAATTATAGTAAATCGCTTAAAAACAGTACTTTTATTGACGGTCGACCGCAGTTCAAAACAATATCTACACTGCGAATAACGTCCCTTTCACTCACTTCCGTCACTAAAGCGCTTCATCGCTGGCGCGGCTAGTATAATAGTGCTTATGCTTCACCTCTGAAATAAAGTCGGTGAAGACTGAAAACAACTAATTTCCAAGAATTATATTGAAGCTGAGCTAATTTCTCATCAATGTAGTTAATCACATCACGCCCCTCCTAGCATCCCTGCCCTCCCCCCCCCCCATTTCTTTCCATCTCCGAGGGACAACAGAATTAGCGGTGTATAATAACAAGACAAGTTTGACGCCGCAGGAAATTAACTACAGATATTGATATCTCAGTCTCCATGGTTACGCAGGTGCTTCTAGATAGGGGCTCAGCTTGAGTGCACGGCGCATAACGAAGTGTAGTGTTTTCTGTTCAAATCTAATTCGGTGTCAATAACACCTACTTTGGTGTATCAGTGATTTCTGCTTGGCGTTCGATAATCTATAACATGATTCGATAAGATTCGCTAATTTGACGCTGACCTTTTTCGTATTCAGACCCAAATAAATTAAATTACAGACTTAAGAAAAGGATAATCACTTTCTCCGAAACATAGTCGTGTATACTGAGAAAAGGATTAGTACAAGGCATCGTTATCGATATCCAAGGTCGTCGTTCGCCAGTGCAAGAAATACAAGTACAGGCAGACATATACACACATGGACAAACATCGATAAAATATCGGAGATGTAGCGTCTAAAGTCTGGGTTATATTAAACCCAAGTGACAGCTTTCACTGAATGTTGAAAATAAACCACTGCGCACCTACCCCATACATCACGCAGTATTCATTCGATTTTACTTCATTGCACGTAGAATTGTGTCATTGTGTCTAAATTTTTTGAACATGATTTATTGTGATGTTAAAAAAGAAAAGAAAATAGTTATAAACATGACAATTTGAGAAAAGAAACAATGGGAAGTCTTATCTGAACGCTATAATGTAAGTCATAACGGTCATGTTTCTTGTTTTCACATTTTTTTTTAAATGTTCTTAAAATTAGTTTTGATGTTTTCAGAACGGTTTACTATTTTAAATGATACAGAGAGTGCTAAATAAATACACGAGTCGCTGTACAGTTTTCCCGACATAGTATGTTTTTTCCCCACAACAAATATAACTTTCGCATGATAACTATCAGGTGATTATAAAGTTAAATTAAACTCGTACTCGCAGTCACGGTGTCTGTCTGTCTCTGTGTGTGTGTGTGGGGGGGGGGATAGCTGGTACAGGTTACAGGAAATAAAAAAGGCATTTTACGTTTTTACAGGAAATAAAATAAAAAGTTCCATTTACAGTAAAAGATAGGTTTTTACATTTTACAGATAAAGCAAATTCCTATTCCCATTTTACATTTTTATAATATAATTTGATAATCGTGTTTAAGAATCAATTGCGTACGAATTGCGACATTTAATGTGGAAAATGCTTTATACGCTTGCAAAAAAGATCTTTATACAAATTACAGACGAATAAAATAGGTGATTACATTTCACACCTTGCCCATGTCTACGAATTTATGTCTTTTATTTATTTAAATTGCATTATTACAAAAATAAAAACAATTAATTACAATTTACGAAAATACTCCATGCCGACTGAGTATGATTATATCCATAGTTCACCATCTACAACGATCTACCTTTCTACTTTCCTTATGTTTTCTAAGTCTTATAAATGTTTCTTTACTCCCCTAATTAGTATGTATATTGAAACCTCGCATTCAATCAATCAATCAATAATTGGACCGATCAATAATCAATCAATCGTAGCAATATGAACATTCAGATATTATTTTGCTTTACAAGAGAAAGACCAAAAAACAAAACCATTTACACTTATATTAAATTGCAGAACTTAAAATGATGGAGACGTAAATATTTAAAAAGTTATTTGATGAAACGTTCACATAACTCTTAAAACCACGTCACACGGCAACTGGTGAATATCTGATCATATGGTGCGATGTGGCGTATTCTAAACATATATGCCAAACAACCTGAGCTAGATGAAAGGTTGGGGTTTCGTTTCTACGAAAATGTAACCTACCTCGGATTGCGTTAAAAAAATTAGATAATGAATTCATGGCTTTCAGCAAAAGCAATGTTACAATTATCATGCGTCCACGACGCACCACAAAAAAAAATCATTTGTGAGAAAATCAATTTTGCATGCGTCAACGATATATGTGATGGAAATCAAGACTACTTAGTCAATATATAACGCTATACGACACAAATATCGACCGCCTTGAATGGTCGCTTCACATGAGACTCACGGCTAACCAGCAGTGCCTTTATACAAATCACCGCCATATTGTTTTGCGCTAAATCCAATGGGAATCCTCATTTCATTATTAGTGATGTCATAAGAACACAAAATATACCACTTACGCCTCATTAGATGGCATTAGTGGTATTGTACCCAATAAAGCAAACACTTATTTTCGTGGCCACATGGGAAATCTCTGGCTTCTAATTGGCTATTTTAAAGTGTTTATGATATAGAAAAATTGCTGGCAATAAAACAAAACACAAAAACGGTATACTTTCAGCCACGTTTGCGTGAACACCTTCCCTTGGGAGTATACGACTGTATTACGTACAATATGTATGGGCACATGGATAGGATCCGCAATTAATGAATTCATCGAAATATGCTTGTGTTATTGTTTGTGAATGACATGCATTGCGTGTGTAGGTAATTATGTGTACTATAAACCAATGAAAAACATTGGTGACGGCAGCGGGTGGCGTACAATGGTAAAAATTCCGAGATCCTTATTTGGCTATAATTGAGAGGTATGGTAATACAGAGGCGAGTCGATTGAGCTTAATGAGTATTCAGTGCGTTTAGACGCGGGGTCATATCTGACACAGTAGTAATAAGGTAGCAGTCACAAGGGGATGGGAAATTTGAATTCGAGGCAACGCGCCCCGATCGTCACTCACCAAGCGCTGTCTGACTGAGAGAGATGCATCGAAGCAGGGAAGATCGAACACACGGGAGACAGCGAGGAATGTCGACGTTGTTGTGATTGCTGGGATTATTGCAAGCACTGTCGGTCTCTCTATTACCTGGCTGTACATGAATAACATGAGAAGCGTCGACTTGATCGCGACGCAGCCACGCAATAACGTAGCGAGGCAGGTGAGATGTGCAGGCGGGAACCGTGGTAAGGCTACTCGTCTGGACGACAGTGATTTGGACCGTAGCGAAGCGGAAATTACCGTGATGTCCAGCGTGAACGAACCAGATGTCAACTGCCGCAATAAAGAATACGGGGCAATCATAGACGACGACAGTTACGAAGATTTGTGTACTGAGAAAAATAATAACAACTATACGGAGAACTCAAATAGTCGAAGCGCAAAGCGCTTAAAAAACAAGGTTGAACTTTTAGGAAAGGATTTCTTTTCAGGGCTTGATATTATCCAAGAAGAAACGGAAAATGAGGAGCAGAGCGACTCAGAAGAGAGCAAAGAGGTCGGAGAATGTGGGAAACTGAGTGACGTGAGCTACGTAGATGAAAACGAGCGAAATGACGCTCTGCGGTCTTTTATTGAAAAGTGTATTTTATCGGAAACATCTACTGCGACGATTAACAGTAGCACAGGTGACAAAGATCACGGGCTTAACCCCCAAAGTTCGCCGCATGAGGGGGCTGACCCGGTTATAAGTGTCGTGTACTCGTCGTCCAATCGATTGGCTGACACGAACAGTACCTTAAGCGTTAACGGGTTGAATTTAATAGTAAATGGTTTACCGAACAGTAAACAATGGGGCGGAGTGAGCGAAAAAGGTTATCAAGCGTCCATTATGAATGACTATTGTCAGTCAAATCGCAATACGGCTTTAGTGTCAGACGATTTAAACGACAGAGGACTACACGATATTAATCTGAATTTATTGCCGTCCAATACTACAGCGTCTGACGCACATGCAAAAAGTGCAGAACAACCCAACTCCGCCGTACTAAGAGCGGACACAGGATATGCGGTAACGGATAAAAGCTGCTCGACACGCTCCGCTGCAAAACTGAAATCAGAGAGTTCGCTGTTTAGTGACGCAGAGAAGTCGGGGACTATGGAAAATATGTCGACGCGATTCGTTTTTAACTCGTCCGGGTCAAAGCACGTACCAATGGACGGTAGTTCGGATATTACAATGTCTAGTTACGGCAAATATTATGTGGATATTAATAGCAACACGTCAGAGGGACCCGCCGTGACACAAACCACGCACCAATTCGACCCAACACCGATATATAATCAACAAATGGAACCCACAAGTCGCAATGAAGAACCAGGCTATAATGGGAATATGACTAACTATTCTACGGTAAACAAACAGCACTATGCTGGGGATCATGATGGTAGCACTTATTATAAAACTTTAAGATGTAACGATCGAAGTCGGTTATACGCGGATCAAAATCGACAGGTGGTTGAATATTATCGCGATAAGGATTTGCGTGTAAACATGGAACGACGAGACCATGGCGTTGTTGGCGATCTGATAACTGAAACGGACAGTGGCATGGCAAGTACGTGCAGCAGTACCAACTCTCACAACGGACACGTCCCTAACAGAGCAAAAAACAACACGGGCGCTATTCATTCCAGGGGACACAATCACGACCCACCCCCTAAGGAGGTGAGAGACGTCGGTGCTCGTTTAAAGGGAATATCCAACACTACGCAAACATATCGTAGTAAAGCGAACAAACACGAATGTGAGTTACGACCTATGTACAATAAAACGGGTCCCCTGGGGACGAGCAACCAACATGATGGAAATCAACGCTGGGAAACGGATTACCGTCAATACCAGGTGAGTACAGATTTTGATAGCTGTGTGATTTTTTTTTATTTTAGAGACAATTTTCGGGGTCGGTTGCTAAGTGAATGGTAACACATTTTGTGTGCCAGTGAATCGCGGCATCGTGTAGAGTATACGGTGAACCTTGTAGTTGAAAAACGTTATTCATGCATATAATAGGGCTACAGCATTCACTTCTTACAATGACATAAATCAATAGACATTCTAAATTCACATAATTGGCCCAGCTTATCAAACGAACAACATTGTGTTGTGATAACTACTTAACACTGGATGGTACCAGTCGAGTCACAGTAAATTGTGAAGAGCATGTTTATGGGGTCTAAAGAGCAATTTAGCAATAGTATAAACTTGGTCACATACGTCATTTTTTAAACACGTGTTTAAATGCTAGTAGTTAGATTGTGAAAACATGTTTACGATTCTCGTTCACACGGTGATAGCCTGCGTCAAAGCATAGCCTCAACTTCGTACGCCTCCGCTGTACAGCTAAACAAAAGCACGTACAGCAAAACAATTGCTGCTATTGTTATGGAAATATACGTTGCATTTTTAAGGTCGCTAGTGTCAGCGTAGTAAAGCATGCGCAAATACGGCGAATACTGATACGATCTGTCAGATTTCTCTCGGCTATGAAAACAGCGCCACTGGAGGCGCATCATTTTGCGTATGTAACTGAGCATATCCATTAACAAGAAAAAAGATTGATGTCGTTGCATCATCTATTATTTAGGTCACTGATCACTTCCTCTCATATTTTAGTTGAGATGTTATCGAAGATTTCTTTCTTTTCTTTTGTTTATTTTTACAGGGAGACGTTCATAATCCACGCGAGGATAAGTTGAACGCAAGAAATAAACGTTCTCCAATAGTTGGCATCGATCCAACAGCGTTAGATGGTGTCTACGGCACGGATACCGGGCGTTCCCAGCCTCGTGATACGGGCATGTCCTTGCCGTATGCTACGTGCACAGCACCTGAAAGTAGGAATGCACAAATCGAGGAGAGAGAACACATCTCATTAAGTCGTGACGCAAGGACGGAATCGTCAAATGGGGGCAGTGCTATCCGCGTGTGTGCGCATACTGATACTGAATCAGACAGCCGACATAAAGTAGACGTCAGACCTCGCTCACCACGAGAAGTGAATGCTGCGGCCAGGAGGGCTTTCTTTGCCGAGGGTGGAGATTCATCGGCGGACAGTGTTTCTATGGCATTTCAGAAGAGGTTTCGGGGCAAGGTAGATACCTACGAAGCTAGTATTATCTCACATGCAGTAACTCCGATATCACCAACGCGAACGCGGCAATATGAGGTGACTCGACGACGGCCTGAACACCGAGCTGCTCCTGCGATGTCGCCGGTTTCTGCCAAGATAATTAACCAAACCACTAATCGTGAAAATCCTCGGTATGTGTCTGAATCAAGTTCGCAAAACCAAGATAATCGCACAATTAAAGATAATTCACGTCCACGTGAGCCTCCTACGTATCGGAGCATTGTAAACTCGATAGAAAATGCCTTGGCGAGAGCCGATAAAAAGGACGAGAGCATGAGAACTAATTATCAGCGGAGCCCGACACGAATGACCGGAAACCCCCTACCATCACCCCCACCACTCTCATTAATGGCAAACACACCAAGGAAAAAGAAGCCACATATATCTTGCACATTTGCTAACATTGCCGAAGTTCATGAAATAAGCGATGGCCAAACCACTGATGAAGACACTGTGACATCAGAGAATGTAAAAAGCAATGATTACCGGTACAGTGCGTTAGCACCCAGGACGAGCATAGAGAGGAATAGTCACTTTGACTACCGGGAAACAGATCTGGATAGCATTGAGAGGAGGCAGGGGGATATCGCAACAACCGCCGAAGAAAGGCGAATACAAAATTCGTTGAATTCTCTGGATTTGCCGGAGTGGTTCAAACATTCGGACGTCGTAAGAAAAAGCGTTGAAAAGTCATCAGGCAGGCAGTCCCAATCATACAGGTACAGCTTTCCACCTCACACCGCACCCCCAAAAATAAATCCACCCAATAGTATCCCGCCTAGCATTTTGAAAGTTACAGCTAATAGACTCCCACACGATACTTCTCCTCAGCCCCGTTATCGCGACGAATATCTTCCATCGGAACAATTTTCTTCCCACGGGGTAGCTATTTCATCGTCCTCATCAAGTATTAAGAAACCATCAGAAAGTACATCTCCAAGGCAACGAGGTTCGCCATGGGAATTGAGATCGTCTTCCGTGAGAGAATATTCACATACCGTCGTCACAGAATCACCATGGCAACTGAGAACCACTTCGCCATCAGACGTGACCCTTAGGCAACCCCCGACTTATACTTCATCGCCAAAACAAAAATCACAAATGACATCTCCCAGACAACACGCATTGCCTAAAGAATATGAATCACCATGGGAACTGAGATCCACTTCCAGTTCAATTGAATCGACTCCAAGGCACCAGTCACTATATTCCAATAGTTTGGGATCAGGAACTTCAAATCCATCGCAAAAAACAAATTCTGCGTTAAATGGCGGACATCAACGTACGCAGTACGACACAACTGATCTGATCATGCCGCCACCCGAGTTTCAAACACAGCAGCCCGACACTGTTACTGATTCAATCCTTCTTAATAGAAAGGCGACGCAGTCTGTTACTGATACACCCCCTCATAGAAGGATGACAAAACAAAAACGGCCCTCGTCATTTCATTTTGAAACTCGGCCATTGCTTAATGAAGTAACACAAGAATCAAAATCTTCTCAACCAACACAACAAATAAAAACACCATCATCACCGATTAAAACGCCAATGAAGCACATAACATCTCCTGATAAAACTAAATATAAATGTCCGTCAGCATCATCGCCAAAAAAATCGGGTGCAGATACAACATTTAAACTCCGGGATCTGCCAGAATCTCCGCGCAAAATAAAACCGAGAGAAAATTGGTCTCAGGGCGATGAGACAGATACGTCTCGGTCATCACAGCACGATTCTATTACGTTATCGCCCAAATCTAAAATACCCCCTTCAACTAAACAAACATCGAATAAATCTTCACCAAGTGAGAACATTGAAACGTTTTACACCACACCAACAACACAGTCGGCGTCAGAAACGTATTATACGAAAACTATGACATCACCATTAAATTCGACGTCATACTGGAATAATATGATATTATCGTCAAGAACAACATCTCAAACTAAATCATCGCCAAAAAGTTCCGTTTCTGGGGAGTTTTATTCGAAACATGCGACAGCATCACCACGAAGTACGCCATCAGAGCGGTGCTCCTCGCCAAGTTCAACCTCAGAACAGTTTTATTCAAATTCGGTGACGTCAATACCTAGTTCCATGGCGTCAAATTCTTACACGAAACCAATGACGACATCATCTATATTAACCTCTGAACGATTTGACAAGGATCGAGGCATCGGTTCAAGGTCGCGGAGTTTTAGTCCAACAACTTTCAAAGTAAAAACTGGCGATACGGACTTGCCGGGATCTCCCACCCGATTCTTTGTTCAAATAAAACCCTTAAAAACATCACCTACTAAAGAAGATATAGAAATTGCACCGCCAACAAAGACTACTTCCAGCAGTCAAACTGATTTAACGCTGACTGGTATGACGAGATATGACATCATCGCCCACTCGGTGGAAAATCTACCAGGAACCCTTGCAAAATACCCAACTTCGCCCAATCTCGCCAATCCGATGCCATTATCATCATTTGGCATGGACTATGAGGACATCGACGAAAATAAGGACTCATGGAGGAAAAGTGATTCTGTCTTGACTCGACCTAAACGTACATTCGGTCTTAGCGACTTTCACCAAAGGCCCCCTGAAAGTAGGTCTTTGCAAGAAAGTTACCGTTCTTTGAGAAAAAGCGAGACGTCAAACGTAGGGAAAAAAATCGATTTACCAACTGTGAACGAGGAGGGACTTTTTGAATTTGAGTCAGGTCAAAGTCAGGACAGAGAACAAAATTTTTTCCCTGAACAAAAAAGACCGTCAAAATCAATGGAAAATTTGAAATTATTTCACGAACTTTCTGCTCCATTTTCTATAAAGAAGGCTTCATTGAGTGTGAACGACCTATCGGGTCGTCCCAAACTGCAACCCGATCCACATTTCAACCCCGATGGTAGCAGGAAGGAAGGATCTCACGAATTTCCAATGGTGTCGTACTCAAGCCAAGACTTGTCCAGGAGGGAAAAACCCGGAAGTCATCATGATTTAACCGTAACTATAACGGACACGTCGCTAGATGCGGATGGCAGCTTTACCAGGCGTCCCTTTCAGAGTACGGACAGTTTAATGTCAAGCGAAGTCAGCTACCAAGCACCAGGAACTAATATGGAAGAAGTGATTGACAGTTTGTTGGCTTTATCGCCAAGTCCAACATCGAGTACATTTAATTTAGGGCTCGATCGGGACAAAGAGCGTGAATTCGCGGAACTCAGCTTCTTTGATTTGCCGTCGAGTCCCATGAAAGACGAGGACGAACCTCCGTCCACTGACGTCAGCACAGCAACACTTGATTCAGTGATCGTCATTTCGCCAACAACAGATTCGAACGATTGTGTGAGCCGAGAAGAAACATTCGACTTCGGCAGCGATTGTCATACTTTTGACGACGAGAAAGAAATTGATGACGAAAAGGAAGACATATTAGGGGAAGAGTTAATTATGGTTAAATGTCGATACAAAAAATGTGGCAAAAATATGCCATTGAGAGAAGCTAGAAACACTTATAAATCTTGTCATAATTGCTACACCTACTACTGTTCGCGTGACTGTCGCAAAGCACACTGGGAGAAACACAAAAAGAAATGTATTTTCAGTCGCGTGAGTAGCGCCTGTAAACACGTGATATATCATAGCAGACACAATGAAGACTGTCTACAATCACTCTCGCGAATGGCGAGAACTGGGTATCTATCGCGAGGGAGAGGATGCATTACACTTCTCTTCGCTGATCCAGAAATCGCGGAAGAATACCTAAAATATGGGGTGAATGGATGCGAAATACCACCAACGTATACGTCTGCCAGAGAATTGGAAGAATCCGGCGTGACTGGTGAACACATGCAGCTATTAATAAAAATGTGTAAATCATATAATCCCGAATATAAATTTGTAGTTAACGTCGCAATTGTAGTTAGCAACGAGCCGCCGATTAAACCCCTTCCGAGACACGAGGGGACTACCATTAAGAAATGCGCCAAACTGAGACTGAGTCAAAATATGAGCCCCAAAAGAGAGATGAAACCAATCCCGGAAGATTCGGATACGTTAATCCTGACAGCGCCTCCTGGGAGCCCTTCAAGAGGAGGACTCGATAAGAAATCGCGACAGGTATGTTTTATTAATATCCAACGAAATCTACGACAGCGTGGAGTAAGTCTACGTCATCGATACCCTCGCGTGTACGATAAATTATGTGCGTGGGTAGAAGACAACGAAAACTTCGCTCCTATGTCTATCTATCCCTACGATACACGCACCGGCAAACAGTTCATGTGCGTTATTATGCCAACGTCCGATCCAGACGAACTTGAGTGGGCAAGAAATCCCGAAGTGCTGGAATGTATCGATCTGGACGCGGAGATTGAACGACTTGAGACAAGTGTCGTTCTGGCCATGGAAGAGACGGGGAAAACCCCACCACAGATAAAAAGCCCAAGAAGTCCAAGATATTGAACACGTTAAATAATATACACGTACAGTGGTGCTAGTTCATTGTTTTTAACTGAATTATAAAACAAATGAAAACTTATTCTAGCCAGACGAAAAATTAAATATACACACAGATAAGAAAGATAACAACAATAGTTGGTCATTTCTAGCAACTAACTCCAGAGGTGGTTGTCATGAATACACGACGGACCGGCAAAATGGTTTATCTTCGAAGACCAAATTAATGTCGACCTATTTCCAAGTGTCGTCCAAGGTTTATAAATCAACAGATGGTTGCCATAGATACGCTTGCGTTCTCCGCAGCAGCGACTTGGACGCATATGTATTTCTTTTGAAAAAAAATACACAAAAACACGAACACGGGTGAGCGTGGCCGCAATGAACCACATAGACATTTGTCTAGGATTCTGGCCAATATATTTACTAGTACCATAAATAGGGTTAGATTCAAAACGATGCCGAATTGGAAATATAGGACGGTTCCCGGCGTTTGTCTAGAATCCACGTAAAACCATAGGGATTAATTCTGGGTTAAACGCAACGATTGGGAAATGTATAATAATGACATTTAGGAATGTGGCTTACTGACGATTCTAATCCAAACGTACAGTGGAATATAGCTACGTCACTCGGGATTAATATCTCAGAAGGCTGTCTCGTCAAGTGGATATTTGTCTCACGCACATATAATCGGATTATTGAACTTGAATCCTAACGAGATTGCTGTATTGATCGTGTCAATTTATAATTTAAATCGGGGTTATGAGAACAGTATATCGTATTAGCTTGCAGGGCGAATCGCCGGCTGCATTGTCCATTCCAGTCAGCGTGTATGATATGTATCGGGGAGCATGTTGGAACTGTGCCAATCGGATAAGAACTTTAAAGTTGTGTGAATAAAGGAATATCTCGCGAATCGGGGGACTTACTGTCTCATCTAATGATACAATAAGACAATAGATTGTATAAAACAACAACAGCAGCCCGAGTAGAAACAATAAAAGTCAATGGAATGTACAAAACAACGACATCAGCGGGAACAATAGAATTTACAAAACAATATAAACGGGAACAATAGAAGACAATGGAATTTGAAAAACAACAACAGCAGTGGGAACTAGTGACACGGCAGGTGAGCCATTATTGATTTTTTTTCTTCTATTTTTGTTAATACTACATGCTTGTCATGATACAGGAGATGAATGACGTATGAATGATTGAATATGCTTGAATACACTACTTTATTTGTTAAACACCACTCAACTATTTAACTTGCGAATAACCTCGGCCCACGGTTTCACCAGAGAACGCCCACAGGTTAATTTTGACGGAAGGCGCAAGGGCGAGTGGTTTAAATAAGAAGATTGGTTCTAAATGTCCCATATTTTATATATCCTGGTTATTTTGGACGTGCACGTCAATACACACTTGTACCGTGTTAATTTGAATAAAAAACAAAATACTTTAAAATCATACGCCTGAACACAAAACACAGATGCATATTTGTATATAATATTCATACATACAAGCAATCCATACAATTCAATTTCAAGCAAATTGACTGTATAGACGTGGTGTTGGTCAGATTACAAAACTATTCAATTAATCGCAGCCGCCACAATATACGCCAATTTTCATAAAACCATTGACAAACTATTTTGGGAAGGCTCGTTTAACTATTATTAGCGACAGCAGTTGGATTACGTTTATTTTCATATTATGACATCAGTTCTCCTGATTTTACGGGGTTGCATCTTTTGTGAGGAGTTTTTAAAACTCTTGCTATAATAATAATAATAATAATAATAATAATAATAATAATAATAATAATAATAATAAATCATATACCTTAAAAACTAAGACCTTTGATCGAATATTAAACCAGCAATATACCTTATATATGGCCGCTGAAATCTCGTTGAAAGCGAGACAGCCCGGCGTTTTGCTCCTCTCATAGATTCAATTGTCATCGCGTCAACTGTCCCGGATGTGTTGAACCATGATATTCGGAACAGTGGATTTGACTATTTCAGCACCAATTCCATTTTTTCATCACAATATCACAAAAGTCCCGTTTATAGTTTACAATTTTCTTCCGAAGATTGGGAGAAAAATATCCAAATTGAAAATTGACTCAAATTTTGTCTGTTGGCTCCAAAATTTGGGTTTATTTTCAGAAATATAATAAAAAAAAAAGTGAAGAAAAATTTGGGCGGGAAAGTCTGGTGGTGGAAAGAGAGAGAATGGAGCGTTATTTGGGGACAAAAACAAGTCTCGTGGCGCTCTTGTTGACAAAATATTCTGTATATACAATATAAAAACTTTAAAGTAAAATCTTACTCATAAATAAAATTTATTCAATTTGCAATATATTCTCCTGCCGGCCAATATAAGAATGTCGTCTTAAAACAAGTTTGTTTATTTACAAAATGATGGTTATATTTTAGGGATTGAAGGTTATTTGTCAGTGTTAGAACGCCTTTACCATTGTTTTATGGTGGAGATTTTTGGTACGATGGAGTTAGCTAGTGATTTGTTGTGGAACATTTATATATCATTACTTGATCGACCCGGGCACATTTTGTAAACTTGGGTTGTTTAAACAAATCCTGGTTTTAAAGAAGTGATCACAAAAGGTTTGTTTCAACATCTATGGAAATGTTCTATAAATAGCATTTTAAAATAAAATTTGGTTACCATGGTGCTATATAGCTCCACGATTGTTCATAATTATTATAAAGAAAATAACGTTGTTTTGCGATTTATGACCAACTTTCTCAACATATGATCTGCCAATGGAGGTGTTTCCAATCTGATGGGTTGAAATAGTTTGATAATTGTTGTGAAAGAAGTGGATGTAGAAGTTAAATGTTGATCTGAATAAAATGCATCTCTCCTTGTGAACAAGTAACGTACACGAGGGACCCATATCATCGCTACATCATACACTACGTGGTGCAATGACTGTTCGCAGTTTTGCAGAAAGTAAGAATTAATTCTAAACCAACCAACGGTGATTTACCGGAACTAAAATTCTAAATTACACGTTATAAGATTTCGAGGTAAATATCAGCGGTTGTCATGGTGATATCGAACTTTGTTATTATTGGTATCTCTAAAGACGAGTTTCGGGTTCCTTGGTTGCCAAGCTACAATGGTGCGCATGAAGGGGATTGAATCAACGTAGAGGATGATAGCAGAATTGTAATATTAGGAAAATATTTTACTATACCATCTTCAGTTATGTCCCGAACATATTGATTTTAGACACACACGTGGCCTTTGGAAGTTTATGAAATGTTAATAAAATATAGAAAACGTGTTTCACATCCATTCACATACAATGACGTTGGACGTACCTTTTTTAAAATATCTCTTAAATAGTTGTTTCTGTTGTGGGCGCGCTCAGTACCAATCGGGAAACATACACCGAAACTCGAAACTCGACTGTTACTACTTTTCGTTGCTGTACGTATACAATTAAGTAATGTACTACCTCTGATACAATATATTCTCACACAGTAAAACCTTTTCCAATTTACACGCAACGAGATTACACTTACAACTGGAAAACGTCGTATTAATTTTAAACACGAGATAAAATATAAATGCAATCTGATGTCAGTAGGGTCAACTTGAAAACATTTTAAGCTTTCTACTTCGATAAGTGTAACTCATTGAAAATAGATCGATTTTTAGCATTTCTACTTTATAAACAAGTTGAAACACGGTTCCATTTAACTTCAAACTTTTGACAACACAGTGTAATTAAATTAGTAGTTTTTATAGTTGTATTTCATTTTATGATAGTTCATATATTCAAAGCTCTGTTTTCACTAAGCTTCTCTCAGAAATGGCTGCACTGTGTGGGTGTGATTTATGCCGAAAAGTCAAAATAGCGAACACTGATTTATTGTTGCATTACATTGGCGTCCGATAGATAGGGGTTTTACATCGATTTTAAATCACGGTTCATGTACGTCAGCGTAAATTGTAACGACTTTTAAAGCCTATGGGGGAAAATAAATATTATCCCACCCGTTTTATGAATGCCGATTTATCTTATGCACGCTCGTTTTTCTTGTGCACACGTTTTATCTTGTGCACGCCTGTTTATTTTGTGCACTTATTTTATCTTATGCACACCTGCATTTTCTTGTACACACCGTTTTATCTTATGCACGCTTGTTTTTCTTGTGCATACGTTTTATCTTATGCACGTCCGCTCTATCTTGTGAACGCCGTTTCAAACGCCACATGTTAGCATCTATAATAGGACGGAAGGAATATCTACGTTGTTGAACGCCGGTGTAATTTAAAATGTTTGCCAACTACGATGCTCCCAATATATGGTGAGCATTAATAGTTCATTTGGTTTATTAAAATTGATTTTTAATTTGTTTTCACATAGTAGATTTAAAAAAAAAGAAGTGGTGGACCGTCTCCGATTAAATTGAAGAGACGGACAACCCCTAATTTTACTAAGTACGCATGACTGATACATGTCCAAAGCCATGATGAACAGAATAACCACACGACGAGTTAAATTAAATTGAATTGATTGGAATAATAGCAGCACCGTGTACACCACTCAAGCACCTTTCAGTGGAGTTAGGTCGATATTGCCGATAATTAACGTGAAGAATAGATCGTAATTTGAAAAGCCAGGATTATCGCAACATCCCCCTTTTCATCCTCCAGTCATATATACGTTATCTCCCAGACTACATTTTAATCAATTACCTGGCCACTTGGTCACCTAAACCCACGCCGTTACTCACTTCTGCAGTTTTATATCTACTTATAAAAGGTTAAAGGGCGGTAGTCGTCGCACAGCGCGTGTCGAATTTCATGTAAACAAGCAATGTATTTTACACGCGTTGTATACGTCGCTATGAGTCTCATATCGAACAGGACGCGGCGCGACGACCACCGCCCTTTAACGCTGTCTGCAGCATCAACACTTGTTAAAAGTTTAGACGATTTTGATTGCTTGTTCCGGT